GTGATCGTTTTTTTAACAAAAGAAAGAAACGAGTGTAAGTTGTGACTTCTAACTAAGCTTAGCGTGATTTTTTTGTAATTGAAATACATTCTCCACACTAACAAATTACAATCCATTGTTCAACTATTTCTACAGAAAAAAGTCTGTAAACCTAATTTATAATTAGGTCCCCATGTGATAGAAACGTAATGAAATAACTAAATCAAAAGACAAAACAATGAATGGCACTGTTGGGTTGATAATGAATGTTTATTTTTTTTCTATCATTACAAATGTCATTTTTGTTATTTATGACAAAGAGCTCTCCAATCAGAAGTGTCAATGCGTTGATAACAGTTGTTAACAAAAATGATAAATAAAATAAAATAAAATAAAATGAAATAAAATAAAATGAAATAAAATGAAATAAAGAAAATAATAAAGAAATATTGGGCAAATTCATGCTACAAAGATATTTTGTTGTTTGAAACAAAGTACATGAAGTATTTTAGTAAAAACGCACATATTAAATCGCTGGGGAGCTATTTAAAAACGCGTCAGTGGCGGTCCGTTTTTAAAAATAGAAAAAATTCGGGAAAACGAATCTTTTCGGGCTTTACTTTAATTTAAATATAAAAGGAGAGGAACTGGTTTTAGAATTAGAGGTAAATCGAGGGGTTTTCCGTATTATTTAATATGTATTTTTATCGTCGGGACCAAAAAACTTTCAATTTTTTAATTTTAAAAATTTTCTTTTGAATTTGGGGACAATTTTATATGAAAACGATTTGGTCTATAAAAGTTTTCATATTTAAAAAATTTTCTTGTTTTTTTTGAATACAATAGAGGTTACGAACCCAAACTTTTTATTTTGAATATTAGCTTTAAATTTACATATGTTTGAATACGTTTTAAAATTATTTTATCATATAATTTATAAATTTTTTACCATTGAAATGCGTTCCCCTTATGGCTTTTTTGTAAAACATTACAGGTAAATATCAAATGATATACACCGTTTTTTTTCTTCTAAAAATAGACATTCAGAGTATATTCACCGTTTTTTTCTCTCTAAAACTAAATTTTTCGTACCAATGCTTTCCATGATGTGCATAATTATATCGTGTAAAATACACTTGAGTGTCCTATCTGCTTGATAAGGTAATAGTGTGAGGCGTGGAAGGATATACCAAACATCATGTTAGGACACCACTTGGTACGCTATGTATTTATCAGTGCAGCATAAATTAAAAACTTTCCCGGGGGGCCCAAAATTTTTAAAAAAAAATTACCCCCAAAGCTAAAAAAAAAGTCGTTTTTCGTTCATTTTTCCAAGGGGGCCCAGTTTTGTTTTTCCAATAAAAAAATTAATTTATAAGTAAAAAACCCCCTTCGGCCCAATTAATTTTTTCCCCCAAAAAACAGATTCCCCAAAGGTTAAAAAAATTTCCGCTTTTTGTTTTTTAAAATTTTTTTCCCATTTTTGTTTTTTTTCATTTAAAATTAAAAAAAGTATATCCCAAATCGAGGTACTGCAACTTTAAAGGGGTTCCAAAAAAACAAGTGAAAAAATTTAACCTTTTGGCAAAAATTTAAATTTTTACAAACCCCAAAATTTTTCTCATATAAAATTTTAATGGGAGGGGAATATTAAGAAATTAGGGGGTTTAATAAATTTTTAAAACCTGTAAGGGGAAAGAAAGGGGGAAAAATTTTTTGCTTAAAAACCCCAAGTTTTTTTTTTGAAAATTTTTCCCTTTTTTAAATTTTTGGCAGGACGGGAAAAGGGAAAATTTTTTCCCATGCTTATTTTGGGGAAACTTTCTTTTGGAAAATTAAAAAAAAGTTTTTGGGTTTTTCAAATTTATTTTTACCCAAATTTGGGTTTTTAAAATTAAAAATGGAAAGTTTTTAAAAGTTTTTATTTTCATGAAAAAGGAGTTTTTTTTCATTACTAAATTTTTTTTTAAAAAATTCTTTTTGGTTTTTTAAGGGAAAAAAAAAAACCCAAATTTTTAAAAAAAACCCAAAAAAAATTAAAAATTAAATTTGGGTAAAACCTTTTAGGGCTAAATTAAAACATAAAAAATTTAAATTTTAAAATTATTTTTTAAGGTTTTTGGAAACATTTTTTTTGGGGACTCCCCCCCAATTTTAAAATTGATTTTTTAAATGATTTTTCCTGTAGTGTGTAAGAGAACTTTTGAAAAAAGGAACCAAAAAAATTGTTTTTTGCATGTTTAAGCCCTTATCAATATTTAATTTCAAAAAAACGTTTCTCGGTTGAAAAAAATCAAAAAGTTTTAACGAATAATAAATCATTTTTCTTAAAAACTGAATTACAATTTGATTTTATGGGATCCTTTTAATAAATTTCCTAGGATCATGGCCAAAGATTTTTCATACTGTTGAGACTGAAAATTAAAAACAGGGGGACTTAAAATTAATTTAAAATTTAATTTATTAACTAATTGTTTGGGGACATTCAGATGTTAAAAAAAAAACCAATTTTATTGGTGATATTCATAAGGGAAAGGGTTTTGATTAATTTGGAAAGAACTTGGGGCGTGTAGGGAAAAAATATCATCGTTAAATATTATCAAATGTGTAAAAATGTTTTACCAACAGTTCTTTTATTCTTTACTAAGAGAAATTGGGTGACAAAAATCATACGTAAAGCAATTAAAATGAATGATAAATAGTACTGAAGCTTGACACAATTCATAATTTCATAATTGAAAATATATTTTAAGGCAAATAATATATGGGATTCAGGAAGCAAAAAAAATAATATTTTTTTGAAAGTATGATTGTAGAATAATGAATGGTTCGAGTTCAAATGCGCAGGACTTTAATCACGTAGGCCGATAATAAATTACAAAGCATTTGGACGATAAACCTTGCATTATTATACAAATATTATGCAAGAAAAAGTTAATTAGTAACGATTTCCATTCTAACATGCTGATATAAAAGAGAAATATATGTAGGACTGCATTGAGCGCAGAATTATATTTCTTGGCGTCACGTGGTTTATTGACGTCATATATGTAGCGCTTTCCATGGTGTGCATATATCGTGTAAAATGCACATGATTGTCTTATCTACTTGATAGGGTAATAGTGTGAAGCGTGGAAGGATACACCAAACATCATGTTAGGATATCACTTGTACGCTATGTATTATCAGTGCAGCATCATTATACAACAGCAATAAGAAAAATTGTACTCAGAAATTACGTAAACACTAAAGTGACAGTTGAATTTAAAGAAATCCTCCTTCGAATCGGTCGAATGTTCAGGATGTAACCGGCTGTGTATTCAATTAGTTGTTAAGGAGATGGGCGTAAATTAACTATGGTCCAAAGCAAAAGCAAAAAAATATATATCAACTGATGCACTAAAAATGGAAACATGTACAAAAAACATTGACGTGATATAATATAAATTAAATTATTAGGTTGATAATCACTTTTTAGCAATTCTCAGCCGAAATTGAGTTAAAAGCGTTTAAACATTTTTAATTTTGGATTATTTTGCGCAATATAAATTATTAAGCCAATAATCTAAAATTTTGGATAAAAGCTGATACATTGTAAGTAAGACCCTCTTCAAATGAAACACAATTCTTGGAAGTTTCTTGCAACACGTATTTTCATCAAGCATAAGTTTATTTAGAATGATTACACAATATTGTTTGTGAATGGTATCATATAAAACATTACAATTTAAAGTTTATTAGTTTACTAAGTGACGTTTTGGACATTTGTCTTCATGCTCTCGACCTCTCATTAGTCTAAAGCGATAAAGTATTTCTCTGATATTGATACTGATTAATTCATTTTTCTCATTGACGTCTTTACAGTTTTTATTACCGCCCATTAAGAGGCTCAATCAAATATTGCTTAAGCTGTTGCTAGGGTGGGTAACTTTCTCCTTCCATTGGCGCCCATGAACAGGCTCAGTCAAATTCTGCTTAAAATAGATAAATTCAGAATCCATAAAGAAAGCCCAACACGGCAAAATTGAAAATGTTGCAGGCTCGGTTTGATTGAGCCTGTTCATTAAGCCGTTGCTTGCGTTGTGGGCAGTAACTTCACTTTCCATTACCGCACACGAACAGGTTCAATCAAACCGAATCTGCAACATTTTCAATTCTGTCGTTTTGTGCATTCTCAAAGGAGGTCATTGCTCTCCATCGTGCCCAATAAGGTGGAAACAAAATAATTTGATTTTTACAGCAATAGGTAAAATATCTAGGATATTTGTTTTATTAGCTGTGTCAAATATGTGTTTGGAAAACGCTTTAGTGTTTTTCTCTCTTTGTTATTTACACGCTTACTTGATTTACATATTACATATACAGTTCTGCTTAGAGAGAATTTAACACTTAAGTCACGATGTCGCCTCAATTACTACATTGACCCGGATTTCACAACCATTTTGACAAATAGAACTCTATATCTTGCTTTTTTTGTCAGCTAGAATAGAGGTCTTTGTAAAATTTTCGAAAACTGAGAACATTCTAGTTTGGTTTAATATAACCGTCATTGATAATGGACTATTTTTATACGTTAGAATTATGAAATTTAAAACTGTTACAGTGATACGGTAACCTCAAATCATGTTCGCAGTAAAATCGTATGTACGGCTCACGTACAGTATATACTATTTGAAAAATTGACTAAAGTAGCATCTAAAAACAAAATGATTTTCATCCCCAAATTTCTCCATTTCTTGATTACTACCCGTAATACCTTAGTAAATATATATCCCGCGGTAGATATACCGAACGGCAAAACCCGAAACACAAAATATCTCTTCTTTCCCAATTCTGTCCATGAGAAACCTAAATAAGTTGCATGTTGGGGAAATATCATAATATGATGATACGCCCCTTTAATATCAAACGTATACAGAAAATCACCTTTTGAAAATATTTGTCTCGCCAAATCATGACTTTCATAACAAAATTTGTACTTGAATAAATCTGGGTTAATATGTCGGCAGTCTAAGACTAACCTCGGTTTACCATGCCTATTATAAGCAACAGTTAACGGGTTTACCACAAAAGGTGCCTCTGCAACTTCTTCTATACAACCTTTAGTGAGAAGGGTTCGAATCTCACTCGAAACAAATGCAGCATTTTCTCTGGCAGACCTATTATTTGTAAGTTCAACAGATTTTGGTAACGTTTTAAAAGGCAACTTATATCCTTCTGAAACTACACTTAAAATATATTCACCTGGCTCCGCCTCTTGCCAGTGCTTAATGCAATCATGCAATCTCCCAACCGGAGACACTACTTTATCTAAAATCTTATCGTTGTCATACGTATGTGAAACATTCTTTATCAAATCATTAGAGCATTTATAGCTTAACTTCATTTTCTCAATACTAAAGTTATCAGACTCCTCAACTTCATTTAACAAAAATGAACCATAATTTATACTTATCTGTGTATTGCTATTCTTATCAGCCTGCAAGTCCATGCGGCACTCTGCCCGCCAATGCCCGGGTTTCCCACACTTGAAGCATAGCCCTGGTTTCCTGTTTGATGTCTGTTGATTCGGAGGACGACTATCTGAAGCTGGCGACGCTTTAGTAGCAGGGTACGGTAAAAACGTCTATCTCGTACTCGACGTTCCTGACGAACCTTCCTATCTGCTTGAATTTGTGCCTTGTAGATTTTCTTCTCATCGTCGGAGTTTTCCGCCAATGGATGAGACTCGTTCTCTTGTACGACACGCCAACCATGCTCTGAACTGTCGGCTAATTTTACATTTAACATTTTTGACGATGTGACAAAATGTCCATACCTTCTGAAATTTTTTCTCTGGCACTGCTAGCAGACGAATTCGAATCTTCTTCAGTAATGGGGGCAAGATAACCGTCTGCTTGTCTCATTTTTTCCATAACTTTAGCGTTCACTATAAACTGTTGCTCGTGGCCTTTCTTCTTGAACACATAAGTACCACTAGTACACGCCAAAATTTGATTTTGTGATATTTCGTATATTTTCTTCTCAAATGTCTGCAGTCTAGAATCTAACAAAGACTCTAAACTAGATAAAATACTGCTTTCTTCCATCCCAAGTCGCAACGGCTGCCACGTGCTAATTTGGAAGTGTAAAATATTTATACAACGTGTCTCTGTGAAATCGTCTGGTAGAATGACCCTCTTTACACATTACAATATACATATTGAGTTAAGTCACGATTCATTAAATACGACTGACCAGTATCGACCCCTTTGAATGCGTAACGCGATAGACAATAATTTCACGCTATTACTATCGAAACGCGTGAAATATTAATACAATTTGTAAAATTGACTAAAGTTGCATCATAGATTATGCTATAAAGGATACTAGATTCTCATTACATGAAGCAATATCACCAATTTAAATGAACGTGATAGGTAAAAGTTGAAAAGTTGTTCTTTAAAATGATAAAGGTACACAGAACATTAATTTGAAATAATGATGATCACGGAACATTAATTTGACGTAAAAATGATTCCGGAACATTAATTTGACATAAAGATGATCCCGGAAAAAATTAAATTGACGTAAAAATGATCCCGGAACATTAACTTGAAGTAAAGATGATATAACACCCTGCGTGTTTCAAAAAACAAAAGGTCATTATTTATATTAAAATTCATTCTAGGAAAAAGGTATCCCTCGAAAGCATTTATCACAACAAAAACACGTGAAAATTGCAGTCTCGGTTAAATTGATTATGTAGAGATAATGAAAAAGTGCACTATCCATTGCAGCATCGGTTGAAGCGAAACTTTATTTTCAACACTTAAAAGTGCTGGAATCAATGATCCAGACATCTTCAGACATGACAATAAATAACTGTAGGTTCAGTGCTTAAGGGCCATATTAACAGTCTGCTTCTTAAGAAGTTACAGGATAAAAAAAGAAACTCATAGAAACCAAATATTTCTGCAACTGATACACACTAATATCTAAGGAGAATAGGAAATTATATAGCACAACTAGAATCTTGTAATAATCTTTATTGAAATCCTGCAAAAAAGGCATTTTATAATAACGTCAATATCTTAGTGCGTTTGGGTAAGATGTATATGTGCTTAAGTGTATGCGCGAGCACGTTTGTTTTGCATGACTAATGATTTTGTTTTTATTTTCGAAATTTAATCTGGCATTAGAGAGGGTGCCAGATAAGTCGCGTGCTATACAATGGCATCATTATTTTTAAAATGCATTAAGATTACACCATTTAAAGAATTACACTGAGAACTATACTATTATAAGGAAATAGTTATAAATGAAATAACATTAGTTTGCATTTAAATTCGTTTCATTTAGTTAAAGCATTTACAATATGATAATACCGTAACAAATGCACGAAAAAATCTGACCTGTGTTTGCGATTCAGATCGGAATATCTGTAACTCGGGTATCCGGTTATGGGCGGCAACTTGGCAAGCCTTGGTCCCACCGAAGGGGAGGATACTCTCGGGACGGATATTCCGATCAGGATCGCAACATATGATGAATATTATTACTTTTCCATTCTTGTCATGTAATATGCAAAGTTACACATGGCTTCTGAATATTCATATATTCATAAAACTATTTACATTTGTTCTCTTTCGTTTGATTGTTTTGAAAATATGTTCATGCAAGGGTAAGGTATAAGGATGTTGGATATTTTTATGTGTTATTATTCTGTTCAAAATGCCATGTTGTCATCAATGGTCAGCTGAAAAGTTTAATATCTACATGTTCTGGAAATAATTTGAACTGACATAGTCAATTAAACTAAGTAATATAACTATATAGTCTACAAGTTTCACAATTCATTGTTTCACTTTGTTTGATTGATTTAACGGCATACCAACACAGTTAAGTCATATCAGAGGAAATATGATTTTGATTTACCTCAGGTCTAACAAATTTTAAGCGACACTAGGCTTCAAAATCATCTGTTGGAGCTAAGAGATGCTTATACTCCTGTTATTCGCATATATTTACTCGCCTTTTACGATTACGCATATCTAAACGGTGACGGCAATGCTGATGCCTCAAACGTTAAAGGCAAACCCCTCAGTACAAGGGGGATTTATTGTTTCACTAAAATCAGGATCTGTTACAGTCGAACAAATGCATGTTCATGTTAAAGTTAATAAAGTAATAAAAAAAATAGATAAATAAATAAACAATTAAATAAATAAAACCCAAAGACAGAGGTATATTTTCAAAATATTTTTTGTCCAAATAAAACATGTTTCAAATCGAATAAAATCATTTTCAATGATGCGTTTTGTATTTTATCATGTTAAAATAAGTCACGACACAGCCATTATAAATGAATTAAAACAGTTCCACAAATAATTAATTTGTTCAAATAAGGCTCTAAGACTAATTAGTTTCTGTTTTTCTTAATAAAGATAATAAATTATTCTGAAGTTGTGATTTGTGGATAAAAACTAAACAATGTAAAATAATATATAACAATGACCTTATGACCGAATAATTTATTTTTCTATTCGAAAAAAACAACACCTTTTGTCCAATTTAATTATGAATATACTTTTCTACAATTGGTTTTAATAATGATACGTAATGCTGAGAAAGCCTGAAAATTAATTGAACTCTTCATGTGAATGTGAAAAAATCAAATATTACGTTAACCCTTTATTTTGTGCTCCTATAAAGAATGCATATAATAGGTGTTTTGTTCATTTGTTTGTCCACAAATGACTTGTAGACGTCAGGATGTTAAAGTTTGCGTACGATTTGACAGTTCCGTTCAAACCGCCACCAATGTATTTCTGTAAATATCTTATTTTGATAACGATACTCGTACATTACTCTGCAGTCTTATAAGTTCAGTAAAATGACTTTACCATAAGATTAAAATGATCGGTTTGGAGGTTGTAACGTTCACAAAATATTATCGTATCATCCACAAAACTTACAAATTCGAAATGCAATAATATATAGCCTCGTCAAAACATAAATTAAAACAGTTATCGCATGAAAAATTAGGCTTTTTCATTTTCAATGTTTCAAATACATGAAGTTTACTTTGAACACGGATTTATATTACATGTTATATAAATCCGGGTTTTGAATCAAATCATCAATTGCTCTTAAAGTGTACGGCGTTAAATATAGATAGATTTATACGAGTTTGCACCGTGCATACATAAATGATGTATCCTCTATAAAAGTACAAAAGCGACGGATATGATACGGGAGGCTTAGCGAAAACTGAAGACGAAAGAACGACCTTAGTCAATATCACAGCTATAATAATAACAGCAAACCATGACAAATATTAACGACACGGCGAAACGGAACAGCTTAAATGCGTCATCGGCTCCTGATGAAATGTATTTCTATTATTTTCCGCAGTGTGTGCCTGGAATGGTGGTACCAAAAATTGAGGTCGATCCGTATAGTGTCTCGGAATATGATACTATATTGCCGGAGCCTATACCGAACTACGAGATAGCATTGAAACTTATAGCCTACATTATTTCATTTCTGATGGCCATCATAGGAAATGCAAGTCTTATTTGGATCATAATGATAGATAAGAAGCTACGGACGCCAACAAACGCTCTGATCACGAACCTTGCTGCAAGTGACTTGATGGTAGCGTGTACTTGTATGTGGATACATCTCGGTAACAGCATAACAACGGAATGGCCATTTGGTTCCTTTATTTGCAGCGCTAATCAATTCTTACAAGGTAATTCATTGTACATTATTCATTATTTCAATTTTTAAAGCAAAATAAGCCTTTGTACCATTTTTTTGATATGACAGCTACATACGCTTATATTGTTTGTTTTAAAATACATCAGATGACTCGGATCTGACAAATTGATATAAGGTCGTTTTGTATGTTTGGGCTACGGTGCGGGTATTGTTCTTGGTCATTTATGTCCTTACATTGAAATATAAGTCAATGACTGAACAAAATCTAATTGACCCAAAATTGCTAACATTTTTCTTACTAAGAACAAAAATTTTTTTTTTTTAAATATTATGTCATTTTGTTCTTACTGTAATGTTGTTTATCTGAAAATACGACCGGCCTTTTATAAATTTGTAGTATTTTTTCAGTTTTTAAGTGATATAAACATGTTTTAATTATACATGTATATATAATATAAATATTAAAAAGTAAAACAGTGATAAAAAGGGTTAATTAATTGAGGAAGCGCATAGCTTAGCATTTTACTTTCCTTGTGAATGTTGCAGATATCAGTATCTGATGAAGAAATTGCTAATACTTTAAATAATTATTTTGTTTCAATCTCCACAATTGATGACACTAATTCAAATCTTCCAAACTTTTCGTTAAAAACTGATTCTTTTATTGACAATATTCAAATTTCAGAACATGAAATCTCTGATATTCTCTTAAATTTAGTTACCAAAAAGCTAGTGGTCCAGATGAAATTAGCCATCGCATGCTCAAAGAAACCTCAAAAACAATATGTCGACCCCTTTGTATTATTTTTAATAGGTCTCTTCAAGAGGGATCCTTTCCCAATTGCTTAAAATTAGCTAATGTAATGCCACTTTTTAAAAAAGGAGACAAGGAAATTCCATCTTACTATAGGCCTATATCATTAATCAGTTGTCTTGGTAAAGTAATGGAGAGAGTAATATTTAAGCATTTATACAATAATTTACATTCAAATGATCTTATCTATAAATATCAGTCGGGCTTTCTTCCTGGACACTCAACAATCTATCAACTTATTGATATGTACCATCAAATTTGTAAAGGATTTGATGAAAAAAATCTACTTGTATAGTTTTTTTGTGATAACTCTAAAGCATTTGACAAGGTTTGGCATTCGGGTTTATTATTCAAGTTAAAACAATATGGAATTATAGGGAAATTTAAATTTAAATGGATTGAAAATTATTTAAGTAATAGAATGCAAAGAGTTTCTGTAGGATCTTCATTTTCAGAAACTAAATATATAAATGCCGGTGTTCCTCAAGGCTCAGTTCTTGGCCCACATTTATTTCTTATATATGTCGACGATATAGCCGAGTCTTTGAAAGTACTGCAAGACTTTTTGCA